CTACTCCACTCTCACCACCTCCGTTACAACAGACATCAGTTCAGTCCCCTGTGCCAGTGCAGACGCCCTCAGTTCAGTCTCCCGTGCAGTTATCTACTTCACCACCATCAGTAGCTCAGCTCCCACTCTCATCCGCATCTCCAGTAGCTCAGCTCCCACCTGAACCATTGGCCCAGTCCCCGATAGCAATACGGTCTTCTGTTCGGCTTAACATTCAGCCAGGGGTCCCAAACCTCTCTGGCTCTACATCAGCTCCTGCTGGAAGCTCGGATGAGCTCATCCAGGACTCCGCGGCTCCCACGCCGCCATCTACCTCGTCCGCTGGGGGTTCCAGTGAGCCCGGCCAGCACCTCCTCGTCTCCGCTGAAGGGCCCAAGGGGCCCGTTCAGCCTCCTGTCTCCGCTGGAGGGTCCGAGGGCCCGTTCAGCCTCCTGTCTCCGCTGGAGGGTCCGAGGGGCCCGTTCAGCCTCCTGTCTCCGCTGGAGGGCCCGAGGAGCCCGTTCAGCCACCTGTCTCCGCTGGAGGGTCCGAGGGGCCCGTTCAGCCACCTGTCTCCGCTGGAGGGCCCGAGGGGCCCGTTCAGCCTCCTGTCTCCGCTGGAGGGCCCGAGGGGCCCGTTCAGCCTCCTGTCTCCGCTGGAGGGCCCGAGGGGCCCGTTCAGCCTCACGCCGCATCAGCTGGAGGGCCCGAGGAGCCTGTCCAGCCGCCACCTGCGACCGCCTCGTCGTCGCCTGGTCCGGCTGCATCTGCCTGTGCTTCTGCTACGCCTGGGCCAGCCTCTGCCTCTGCTTCTGCTACGCCTGGTCCGGTCTCAGCCTCTGCTTCTGGTCCAGCTTTGGCTTCTGCTTCTGCTCCGCCTGGCCCAGCTTCGGCTTCAGCCTGTGCTCCCCCTGGTTCAGCCTCTGCAGCTCCGCCTGGTCCAGCCTCAGCCTCTGCAGCTCCGCCTGGTCCAGCCTCAGCCTCTGCAACCTCGTCTGGTCCGGCCTCCGAGTCTTCGTCCTCGTCTGGTCCAGCCTCAGCCTGTGCTTCGCCTGGTCCTGCCTCGTCTGGTCCTGCCTCGTCTGGTCCTGCCTCGTCTGGTCCTGTGCCCACCAGGCCATGGCCAGCACGCCTGAGACTGGAGGGCCGCCGCTGCCTTCCGCATGGTCGGCCCCCTGAACTGCTCTGTGTTTGGGTTGTTTTCTTGGGCTCCGGTGTTTGCTGTGCTCTTCTTTTGTTTTCTGTTCCGAGCCCTCCGTCCTGGGCCCCCGCCGCCCGCCCTGGGTTGTTTTCTGTTTGGTTTTGTTTTTCTGTGTTTGGGCTGTCTGGAGCCAGCCCTTGAGGGGGGGGGTACCGTCACGGTCCTGGGTCTCCTGACCCAGCGTTTTTAGTTCTTTGTGATTTTTGTATTATTGTACTTGTGTGATTTATTCTATGGCTTCTAGTTTTGATCCCTTGCCCTTCATGTCTCTCTGTGCCCCCTCTGTTCTGTGTAATTGTGTGTCTTTGCATGTTTGAGTTTCTTGTTTTCTGTCACTCTGCATTGTGCATTATGTTCTCATGGTTGGTTTTTTGTTACTCTCTCTAGTCTATTCTCTTGTGTTCCCAGCTGAGTATTTCCCTGTGTATTTTGGTTCTTAGACCTCTGCCTTATGGTTTATGTCTCTGTATTTCTTAGTTGCTGTCTCCACTGTGTCAAGTTCGCGTCTCTGTGTGATACTTCCTGTTTTACTTTGATGGTCCGTGTCTCATGTGAATGCGTCCTGCTTTGCTTGTCTCGTCAGTCCTGATTTCTCCCAGCTGTGCCCTCCTTCTGTGTCTCATTCCCCTCGTTACTTCCCAGTGTATTTAAACCCTGTGTTTCTCTGAGTCAGTGTCGCGTCGTCCCTCTTGCTGTGTGGATCTCCCTGTGTGTCTCTCTGTGAGTTTTCCAAGTTCCCAGTTTAGATTAGTGTGTATGTTTTTTCCTTCCCTGCCAGCAAATAAAGCTGAGTTTTGAGTTCACCTCCCTGAGTCTGTGAGTCCTGCACTTTGGGTCCAACTCCTGCCTGCCGCACAGCGATTCATGACAAAACACATGTGTAACCCACAGAAGCCTTTTATCAAGTGCTGTGGTGAATAAATGCTGCACCTCCTTATGGGACCACAAACTATGTGTACTGCTGTTTTACTCACACAACTTTGTGTCGTCATGTATAAGCATTAACAGATAATATAAAAGATGATATTGATTTACTGTAATCAAGTTGTGTATAAAAATCAATCCTATATATTCAAGAATAATTCACTTGCAAAGTGTTGTAGGATCACACAAAGCTGCAGATTTTTATTCATTTATTTTTTGTTTCTCTACTTTGAAATTGAAATGTACGTGTTCTAGCACAGCTGTGTTTTATTTTACTGTTTAAGGAACAATGTTGCAAGTAAATAAAAAGACTATCGCATCATCTCAAATAGCAGAAGATTATCATGTAGTCGGTTTGACAGGTGATCCAGTTTTGCAGCACATAACAGACTAACACAATGGAAGAATGGTTTGATCATTTGGCAGCTTCGGCGTCTCTGTCCTTGCATTTCTTACACATCTGTCACCAGCATTGCTGCTATCAGGAGCTGAAAAACAACCAGCTTAATAAAAAAACATCCCTCGTGTTGTGTTTGAGGCTTGACCACGCCTGACTGGTTTAAAGTTGCAAAGTTTAAAACACGTGGATGACTTTTTAACAAATGAAGTACTGCTGAACTTTGTGGCTTATGCTGAGACATTTTGATTTTTATGAAAATGTTTTTGACGTTTTCCACAAAGTTGTCACTGATAAGCCCTAAACCCATGATAACCAAAGTTGACATATTTTTTTTTATTTTTTTGAATATTATTTAAAGGCAATAATAGGTCACAGTCAACTGAAATCAGCAGCAAGCTTACAAATGTGGTAGTGAGGTCATATCTCAGCAATGCTCAGAGCTATTACATCCAAACGTAATGCACAGACCCGGGACCACATTGTGAAGACTGTCTGTTTCCTATGAGTGCTTAAAGTCACGTTTCTAACACGATCACATTAAGTTGCCATGGTGACTGTGCCCTGCTGAACCGCTTGCCCCCTTCGTTGCTGCTCGCAGCTATGTTTTAATGAACTTTTAATGAACTTTTAAGTTTTGTTTGCATACATGACTGAAAAAGTATCGTTGCTTATTAGAATGCAGGCAAGCACAAACACAAACCCTGCCACTTTTGATCAAATTAAAGCTGTCATCGCGTTAGATGCCATTCATCTTTCATCTTCAATTAGTCATCCATCATCCTTAATCTCTGTCTCGTGTCTCCTTTTCTGCCACCAACTCCGAAGGATAATTTCTCACAAATCCCGGTGGCAGAAATACCTGTTCTGAATGTTTACTGAACTCAGTGTAGCAGCAGAAGGAGGATCATAACAAAAACTATATGTAGTGTAACAAAACAAGGGCATATAAGGGGAAACATATTAGTGTTTACCAGTGTTTAAAAATGTTCAGGCCCTTTTGAGGCTCAGTGGTGTGATGATTATGTGGAGGGAGGATTTATTTACAGACCACTTGAAGAAGTCAAATTGAACCTGGCAAAAAGAGTCAATGAAATCAACAAGAAAAATGATTAAAAATGCAACAGTAGTCCAGCTGGTGGAGAACATGAAGGAGGAAGAGTGTAGATTGACAAAATTTCACTTAATCAGCAAAGATTTCAACACTTTTAGGAACATATATAATATGCACAAACCTTAAAATAAATTCACATTTTCTTTCATGCCAGTAATTATTCATGTTTTCTTCAAGTTGATGCAGATCAGTTTCTGTATTTTTTTTCTCTGTTTTCTTCACCTTCATTGACCATTACCATTCTCAGTGCCTTCCCCCTCTCAGCCTCTGGATGTGGAAAGATCTGCTCTAAATTTCCCATGAATATTCTGCTCTAATCCAGCTCGAGAGAGTTTTTCCTCAGTACTTTTCACACAGATTTAAAGCTAACTTAGGTAAAACTTTTTTTTTCTTTTTCATGCCTAGCCTCATCTTTCATGTCTGTCTTTCTCACAGAAGTCGCAGCTCCTTCTTCCAACTGCTCTGTCTCAGGACTCTTTCTATCTTCTATCGCTGACGCTTGCTAATACTAAACTCAGCGTGTGTCTATGTGTACTCAGCTTGGGCCATATTTCAAGTTAAGTGCATGAACTGATGACCCTCACAAACATGAAACATTCAAACTCTATTTCGTTTTTGCTTAACGATCTTTAGACAACATCACATGTTATCACATTATAAAGCCCCTTTGTGGTGATATTAAGGTTGACCACATCACTGAACTTTTGTCTGAACTGCTTTTTTTTTTTTTTTTTTTTTCTTTTGTTGATGTTTGAAAGGTTTTCGTCTCTTTATCTTTTCAACAAGTAAATCAGATGAACTATGTTAAAATGAATTTTTACTGAAGTTCATTGTACCTTTTCTCATTTGTTGTTATCAGAAAGTCTGAGCGGTTTAGTTCTGTATTTGTTATTTGGAGTGATCGAGTCATTCGGAAGGTATTTCTTTTTAATTTCACCTTGTGGCAGGGTGCCACGATGTAAACTATAGAATGTAATTTAGAAACTACAGACACTGCCAGCCTTCCTGGCAATGATTGGGTTTGGTTATAGTGATTATGATCATCTGAAAATTCCATGGTAATAACGAGCTGTTGATGCAAACAGTTTAATTTCTGTTTAGCTATGCGTCAGTCTTGGTGCAGTATGGATAACCTTAAGTGACTCAAAAGCACCCTGCAATAGATTGCTGACCTGTTCTGGGTGTACAGTAACACACCCCTCACCTTATGAAACTGGAATAGTCTCCAGCCCCCAAGCAAAAACTGAAATGGATAAGTGGTTTAGAAAATAGATGGATGTATGGATGGATGATTCAGTTTTCGGCTTAAGATGTGTAGCTCTCAGGCTAAGAGTAATGGGTTATCTCTTTCTTTCTTTTTCTTTTTACACACTTTACCTCTGTAGTCGAGGGTTGTTGCCTGCATGACAGCTATTCTAAGTCAGATGGATGATCGACACTATTCTACATACATCGAAACCTTCAGTGGAACTACTGATCTAGTGGTAAGTGCCTCACACACATATCCGCAGATGGCAGAAAACTGGATTTTTTTTAAAAACTGGAGTGTTTATTGAGCCTTCTGACAAATAATAAAAAAAAGAAATTAAGTAACTGTTTGGACATATAAGTTTTAATTTGTATCATTTTTGCTATATCTGTCATTTTTGTGCAGCAAAATGTCTCATTTTCCTATCAAAGTATAAATAAAGGGTGGCTCAAAACTTTGCATATTGCTGTGTAGTACAGTTCTATATTCTCATTTGTCTCTTGTTCTTCTTGTCTTCTTCTACTGCAGGACTTCCTAATGGAGTCCTTCCTCCTTTTCAAGGACTTGATTGGGAAACATGTGTATCCGTCTGACTGGATGGCCATGATCATGGTACAGAACAGGTAACATATTGCAGATATGTACACACACATGCACAGAACCAGTTTGAAAGTCTTCTCTTGCATGGTTCTACATGTGTTTGCCCATGAGCTACAGCTTATGCATTTAAAAAGTCGACATCAACAGTCGACTGGTTCATCCACATGAACCCACACAGGGATAAGTTAGCGATAGGAAAGCTGGGATCAAGGCTGCGATGATGAAAACGGCTGATGTGGCAAATATGACTGTGTGTGAGCCGATGGAGTGAAAGCTATCAGTGTTTTTTGTGATGTAAGCTAAAGGGAGGCTAAAGCTGTGTCAGACGAAAAGGCAAATAGGAAAAATTTAATGTGAGGTACAGGAAAAGGCAGTTTGATAAGGAGTCTGCAGACCGGGGTTAGAATGAAGATGTGCAGATATAGAAAGAAAAGCCTACTTAAAAGAAAATGAAAGAAGGAGGGGGAATGAGAAGGAATGGCATTTGGCTCTGTATAATGGTGATAGATAGACAGTGTTGAAGCAGAGGGAGCCTGAGAGTAGTTTTGCTACTTAACTTTAGAAATCCATAAGGCCATATCACGCCAATACACCTGCACACTTTGTTAACTTGCGATCATGATCTATCACTGTGACAGAAGATTTGAATTGAATGCGATATTGCATTTTTTTGTCTGGAATAACAGTTTAAAGCTGTGGCTTTAAGCTCTAGAGCTGAATTCTTTGATAAACAAAAAATAAGCTGCATTGTGGTTTTTTAAAGAATCCCATCCTTTTATTCGTTTTTTACTCGTATTCTCCTTTTTTTAACATTCAGTTTGATCAAACACAGCCACAGCAAAGTTTACTTCATTGACATGTCTTTTTGATTTATTTTTTTATATCTGTTCATTAGGGTGTTCCTAAGAGCCATCAATACATATGCTGACACTATGAAAGAAAAGTTCCTTAATAACGATGACTTTGAAGTCCAGGTAACTGTATTTTTATGTGCAATATTTCCGAGCTTTGTCTCATATTGATGCCATCCTTCTTATTGTGTCTGAATCCCCTTAAACGCTATCTTTCTCTGCATCCCCTCCCTTCCTCACTCTTCCTCACTGTCTAGTTGTGGAATAACTACTTCCACTTGGCAGTTGCGTTTATTACCCAGGAGTCCCTGCAGCTTCAACATTTCTCACCAACCAAGAGGAACAAGATTCTGGCCAAGTGAGAGAAGAGCTATTTAATTTCCCAATTTACCACACCTACTCTCCCCACTGATTTGTGGTCTATTTAGGATTCTTTGTTTGCTGTCTAAACTCCACTACTTATTAAAAGTGTGTGTTACCTGTAGATAGGCATTTAATTTAGATCAAGTTGAGTAAGAGTAGGTGAGCATTATCTTTTCCACTCAGTAATAACAGTATTGATTAGGACACTGCTTCCAAACTAACATTCTAATGTCTTCTTTTTTCTCTTTCTGTGTATTTTTCCTTCCTTATTGTCCCACACTCTGAATTCCAGATATGGAGATATGAGAAGGCTTATTGGCTTTGCAATCCGTGACATCTGGTATAAACTAGGTAAGAACTATACTGTAATGTGTAGTTTTTCTTCTTCATAAACTGTGGATAGAAAGGTTCATGAGTCAGCAGCGTTTCACACTGACAGACACCAATCTGAATATATCAGTGCACTAAAAATATCACAGTTTTCTGTGGTGTGTACAGAAGAGTAGGGTTATATCCTGCACAGAGCTAAAGCTCTTACTGTAGAAGAAAAATACTTCTTGTATTTGCCAGACAGAGACCTGTAGTGTTACCTGAGGGTGAGTGAAAAATGCTGTGTCTGCATATACGAGCAATTACGTGTGTTTATTTCTATGTGTGTGTTTTTTCAGGCAGTCATAAAATCTGTTTCATCCCCGGCATGGTGGGTCCCATCCTGGAGATGACTTTGATCCCTGAGGAAGAGCTGAGAAGGGCCACTATTCCCATCTTCTTTGACATGATCACCTGTGAACATGCACGTTTTGGAAACTTCAGCAAGGTACACACATATAAGAACACAAGCGATTAGTATACATACTAAACTTAAGACAGTCGAGCCATTTAAAAACTAATCGTGATACAAAAAATACTTAAATAAATCTTGTATATTGCAGACTTTGATGCATTTGTATCTATGAATACATGCTAAAATTAAAAGAAGAGACAAGGAAAACAAATGAAATAGAAAATCTATAACTGTGGCACATACACATTGTGCTCCCGCATTGATTTCCTGTAATGCAGCAGATAAAAGTAAAAGAGACACCTTAATTATGCTTGCATGCATAATTGATTTCCACTTCTGTTGCTCCCGTCTTTTGCTTCTTAATCTACCTTTTGTCCCACTCTTTGCTTTCCCCATTTTCAGTGCTGTTCTTTATGCTATTAATCAAGCTCTGAGTGATAAATGTCCTTTTGTTCTGATACCGAAAATATTTTTCCCTGTTACTTGGACTGTATGCACATAGCACTATTGTGAGGTGTTACCCAAGCGAACACTTATTCTTTGTTTTAAATACAAAAGGACAAACAAAGATCACTCATTAGGTAGGCAGGGAGAGGGAATCTGATGACTCAGTAGATAGTGATGCAAAGTTGTTTGATGTTTACCCTGAAAGAGAAAGCCTGAAAAACAATTGATAAAAAGAATAAAAGATGTGATATGAGCATACGATGACGCTCCAGAGCTTTGTAATTTGTTATCTGTCTGCCTTCTAAGGACATTGGTATATTAAGAATAGAATACAATAGAATGTAATAGTTACTTTAAAAAAATAATAATAAAATCTTCGGCAGTTTGAGAATGAGATCATTCTGAAGTTGGACCATGAGGTGGAGGGTGGTGGAGGAGATGAACGCTACATGCAGCTACTGGAGAGCATGTAAGTATTGTAGTTTTTTTCACTATACACAATCGATTTCCTGCTAACTCTCATGAGCAGCATTTCACACTTGGCTCTGGTCTTCTGCCAGTACATTAATAGACAAACTGAATAACCCTGAATAACAAGGTAAAACCCTCTCAGAGGTCTCTGATGATTAAATTGTGGAAGCATGTCTGCCAGATTGCTGGACTGTGCTGCTGAGAAACCCACGCTGAGGCCACAGGTGCAGCACTTTGTCTCCTTGGTGAAGGGGCTCCTCATTCGTCTCCTTGACTACCGCACCGTGATGAGCGATGACAGCCGCAACAACCGCATGAGCTGCACAGTCAATCTTCTGGTAAGAACCACCTTCTTTGAAATCAGCTGGCAAAGTTGCCAGCGCTTGAAAGTCTTGTTAGCATCATCATCATTAGCTTTCTAGTGTCTAAGTGTGATATGTTTGTGTCATCATGGATTAGCATTTATTGCTACTTACCTTGTGATTCTTGCAATATACAGTGCCTTGTTGGTGTAGTGTCTCATAGCAAAGAGTTGCTGATCTTAGATGTACGCACATCAACACCAATAAATCCATTAGTAATTGAATATACAATATAATGTGAAACTTTGTTTTATATAGAATCCAAAGCAGCCAAGAGTTTATTATGAAACACAGATTTTATTTCTTGTCGTATGTGCCAAGGCCTTTTTTCTTTTCCCCCATTTAATTTGGGTGCTGATTGATCTAAAGGCAAAGATTCATCTCCTTGTCTGGTCTCCTACATTTTGCATTGGGTTGCATCAGCTCCTGTCTGTTCCACGTCTTTTCTCTTATGTGATCTCCTAATCAGATTCTCCCCCACAGTATTCTTAGGTTTAGTAATGGATGCCATCTACCCACCATATGATCTTTTCCACGCCAGATTAAATCGTATGATACCTCAGCAAAACTCTTTTCCTTTCATTTCCAAGATGCAAACATTTAAAAAATCATAATTCGACAGATGGATGCGTCTGTGTTTGAATAATAATGTAGAATAACTCTTTATCCCCCACCCCCAAGGTGGAGGCTGCTGGTACATGGCAGGAGTGTTTAGTTTGTAGCCTGTGGCAGTTGCCCATTAGCTATTCTGTTTCATTCATTTGGCCAACTGAAAAAAATCCCCTCTGCCCACAAGCAGGCACTAGTGCACTCCCCTAACCGTACCCCCCAGGCTAACTTTACTAAGGAATTATACACACAGGCACAGTCACACGCATATTTATTCTGCTCTTTCATGTAGATGAACTATCAAAACAAAACAAACTTATTTGAACATAAGAAGTACTCTCAAAAGGTTTGCAGTATATCATTTTGGTTTCATTTTTCTTTTTCGTTGTTACAAATATTAACTCAGTACACATACTGTACACTATATCTACAATATACTAAGCATACATATGTGTAGAGTTTTTTTAAACAACTCTCAGTTGCTGTATTGTTCTCTATAAAAGATAGAAAGTGATGCTGTAGTTCTACTGAAAGTTGTGTTGCTATAGATATAAAAGACAGGTGGACTGCTGCAAATCTTTACTTGTCTTCTTGATGGGCACCCTATATAAACATGTTAGCTCCCTAAATTTAAAATTCATTGTCCAATAAATAATAAATCTTACAATCTTACAATCTGACAATATAAAATGGTTCGATGGTATACTGTGGAAAAATTAACTATAATTTGTCACATTTGTGATTATGTGTCTGTTGGTGCTGTTGTGTGTATTGGCCTGTGCTAGTGATGGGAGGTGAGGTTACATCAGTTCGTTCCACTCCTCTGTTCACTGTAGATATCATTAAACTTAATTAAACTGGGAGTTTGTGCAGTTTATCTAGCACACTTGAAAACACACACGCTCCCACATTAAAGCACAAGCAATCAGTATTATAGTATAGTACTGTAGTATAGTATAAAATAGGATAGTGTAATGTGGTATAGTGTAGTGTTGTAGTGTAGTGTACAGTATAGTATACATATTATTGGATAGTATAGTGTGATACAGCATGTTATGGTGTATAATATAGTATAATATAAACGTGGAATTAATAGCATAGTTTCAAAACCTCTATCAGTTATATATGCATATGCATGCGAACACAGGCATACATACACACAGAAACTACACTAACCAACCCCTCCTTCTGTCTTTGCAGAACTTTTACAAGGACATCAATCGTGAAGCGATGTATATCAGGTATTTACTTGCTGGATTTAACTTAAATGGTGCATATCTGTGTTGTACGCATGTCTGTGCATGTCTGTGCATGCGTTCGTGTGTGTGTGTGTGTGTGTGTGTGTGGCTCTATAATCTGACAAGGGATTATATGAGTTCCACTGAATTAATGTCAAAATCCACAGGATCAGCTCGGCCTGACTGGAGGGAGAGAGAGACATGATGAGTGTGAGGGAGGGAGAGGTGGAGAGACAGGGAGAGACAGAACCATTTGTAAGAGAGCGAGAGAATGAGCGGGACAGACAGGAAAGAGAGGAGGAGAGGAAGTACAGATCTAGTCAGGTCCCGCAGTGCACTTCTGAGTATGGCTTTTAGACAAATTAGTTATCTGTATGTGTGAATGTGAGTGAAAGTCAGTGGTTGATCAACTGCCTTGTCAGCTCTGTGGATAATACAGTAACATTTAGCTGGCTGGTTTATTGGTGTCAGCCAACAAATATATTTTAATGCAAATAGACAATTTATGTCTGTGTTATATAATTAGTCACAATTTAATGGTGCGCTTACATAACAATGGATAATGAAACCCAAAACTAATTAAAATTCCCTTTGTGCTGCTGCGTACAACCCAAATCAGCCACAATGATGAAGCACATGATCAAGCTTCAGATTTAAACTCTGTCATCATTTCAAAATCCTATGAAAGAAAATATGAAATTAAACTGCACTGGACTCACCTCGCTGTTTTGGTTCGCATCCCTGGTGCATATGATAATGTCTTTTTCTCTAAATGCAGTACGTTGAAAACTGAATCTGCTCCCTTCGCCAAGTTTCATTCTGCTATACATACACGTAGTGCTATTCGCTATATGTGCTACATACTAGTCACTGAAGCTTGTAGCTTTCTGTAATTTCTTTTTCTTTGTGTAGCTGTCTCATAAGAATGTGAGACAGCTAGACAATTCTACCACATAGGAGCTGTGAGCAATGCATCCATTCCCTTTGTAATAGAATAGAAATGTTGATGTCCTATTGATATTTTACAGGGTTTTTGTTTTGTTTTTTTACAGCATGAAGATACTGCTAAACACTCATAACCTGTAATATGGAAATAGGACACTTCTTATATTGTTCTATTCAAGGTGCAAATAATAAGATGAAACTTACTTATTTGTATCAAACAAAACCGAGTATAGAAGAATAAAAAAGATGCCTCCTGCTAAATTTGGATCATCAAAACCCTTTCAGTTTTGAAACGTGCAGGTAAAATGAAGCTAGAGAAAGTGAAAAACAGGATGCCAGAGAACAAATGAGATGAATACACGACTCTAAAATAATAGTCAAACAGATTGAGTAATTAATGTAAGTTGCAAATGACTTGGGAGTGAAACTTTTCAGTTTTTTTGTTCCCTTTTCTGTTTGATTTCACATCCAATGACTGGACTGTCATAAACAACTTACAGCCAGATACATTTCCAACCAGAAAATTGTTATATCTGAAAGTGTGAGAAAGGAAATAGCAGGTGTGACATAAAAAAAGAATAAAAAACAAGGAAAGTGAGACTGTCAACATTTAGGCAGACAAAATAAGCGGTTGTCCTGTGAGCCAACACCTTACTTTGCAAGCAGATATGGGACTGTTCATTTAAAAGCATCCAGAAAACATTTCTTTTCCTACTTTGTCATCAGTGCTTTAGCAACAAAGTCCAGCCTCTGGCCATGTGGAGAAAGTTTGTCTTGACAGATGCAAGATACAACAAAACAGATCAAAACTAAAAGCAGTAGCAGTAAAAGCCGGTCCTCCAGGTGACAAGAAGTAATCCCATTTTTCCCCTTGTCAGGCCTATAAAACATTATAGGCCTACAAGCATCTGTCAGACCATTATAAGACATATGCTAAATTGTGCTCTTTTGTGTGTGTGTGTGTGTGTGTGTGTGTGTGTGTGTGTGTGTGTGTGTGTGTGTGTAGGTGTGTGTGTGCGAGTGTTAAATGACCTTTTGCTAAGCTTAGTACATATTTCAGGGTATCTACCAGTGTGTTTGTGGGTGAGAGAGTGAGAGAAAAGAGAGAGAAAGAGGGCTAATGCTTCCTTTGCAGGTCTTCAGGTTGCCCAACAGTGGCACCTAGTGGAATAAGGTTTAATTCTCTTGTTTAAAGAGTGTGCCTTCTTTTTTTCTTTTTCTTGTACTTGTGTGTGCTCAGGTACCTTTACAAGTTGAGGGACCTTCACCTGGAGTGTGAAAACTACACAGAGGCGGCGTACACACTGCTGCTCCACTCTCGTCTGCTCAAGGTGGGGCAAACAGTCACATGCACGCATATGAAGACACATATCGTTGCTTAATGCTGGCCCCGGTGTCTTGTTCTTCTTAATCACTTGCCACAACTGAGACAGTTTTGCATTAGCTGATAAACGTCGCTGGCCTCCAAATGATGAAGCGCCGAGTTTAGTTTATGGGTCGTCTACTGCAGCTACATCACTATGGTGATTGATGCTGTGCACTTGCCCAGTGTGTGTGTGTGTGTGTGTGTGAGGATGTGCATGTATGAGTCTGAGGCTGTTTGACCTCTTATGTCGCTTCAACTCTTTTATAAGACACATGAATTTGAGCATCTCCTGCTCGTCATCTCCTCTGTGTGTCTCATTACATCAAAGCAGTTGAACTCTATTTAACAATTTTTATAATCTCCATTTATCTGCAGGGTCAGTCCTGTCATTCCGGTCACACTACTGGAAACAACAGGCTGGAACACACAGCATGCTATAATCTTTGCTATCCTAAGCAGATTAGACAGTTTTAAAAATCATGATGTACTGTTTTTTTTTTTTCTAAATTTAATTCTGTGTAATTTATGTAATAGAAGATAAACAGTTGTCTCATTTATATAATAAATGGGCACTCTGCTGCAGTTTTTGCACATGCTCCGCTTAGGACTAATATTGATTTATTACAACAATGAAACTGTAAGCTTTAAGTACTTCTTCTCCCTTTGTTCCTCTGTGATAAATGGCACAGCAGAAATTAGAGTAGTCCTGAAGGCAAAGTTTTTCTTTTGTTTCAGCAATATCAAGTTGGGCCTCCCTTCGGAAATATCTCATTTTGTTTTTATCTTTGTCTTTTCTTCCATATCTCTTTACTTCCTCTCTGTCTCTGTTGCAGTGGTCAGATGACATGTGCAGTCAGTTTGAGTTCCACGGCTCCCAAACGCAGCGACAGCTCAAAGAAACTCTCTACGACACAATCATTGACTACTTTGACAAGGGCAAGGTCGGTATTGTTTCAGACAATGTCAAAATTTGCTTAGCTGTACCGATACTGAGTGATTAATTGAGTACTAATTAGCGCTCAGTTGCATTAATGAAAATCCGTGTGTTGTTGTTCGTTTTTGTCTTCTTTTTCTTATTTGCTTCACTCGAGGATATCGGAGACATCAAAACAGATATCCTTCAACCACACATGATCACTGTGCTGTATGTTAGTGTCACATTCATTTTGTATTCTCCCCGAGTGTCTCATGTTCTCTGAAGCTGAGATAGAGACTTCCTTCCACTCCACAGAGACTTGGACACAGACATTTTCATGATATGAATTCCCACCACGACAGCTGTGCCCGATTTATTAGCAGATGGTGTAATGAAGGACACTTCTGTTTATTTCCTTTGTGTGCTTAGATGTGGGAAGAGGCCATCACTCTGTGTAAGGAACTTGCAGAGCAGTACGAAAATGAGATCTTTGACTACGAGCTGCTCAGCAAGAGACTGGTAATACATTACAATCACAGGGGTTCATGTCTTCTGTGTAGCATTCATGATTGCATGTTTTTCCCCTTTCCCTTTTATAGATGTTTTAGATGTTTGGGGGGTTTAAGAAAGAAAGAGAATTCAGGCTACTTATCACGTCTTTGATTAAGGGAGTGCCATCCTATAATAATATAAATATGTACTGTCATCTAGTAACCAAAAATAGAGAGGGCATAGCCGAACATATGAAACAGGAAAATACCGCCGTGTAATCCCTTTATTTCAGCAAAGTAACTGTATTCTAAATACCACCTTTTTAAACGGTAACTGTAACTGAATACAGTTACTCATATTTTGTATTTTAAATACGTAACGGCGCTACATGTATTCCGTTACTCCCCAACACTGCCTCTGAATATATTGTTACATCATCTGCACACTCAAACATTAACAGCTATTTTTAAAGCTTACTCGGCATGTCAAATACTCCTTTAAATCAAGCTTTTTTTGAGCTTATGGCGTGTCATAAATATATGACCCCAAAATTATGATTCTTCATTAGCAGTCTTCAGCTACTTCAAAGTCCTCCTGGCCCTCACTTTGTCATCTCAATCACACTTCCGCTTCTTTCATCTCTTGCCTCTGCACAACAGAAGAAGTGATTCTCCCATTTACTAACTTTTGGTTTAGCACCACCTTCTCCTCTATCTCCCCTTCACTCAAATAACTCCTTCCACTCCTCGAAGAGAATCACACATTTCCCAACAATGGAAAAATCTCTCCCTCTCTTTATATGACTGCAGCAGAAGCTCTCTCAGCTAATGCTGAATTTATGTGGTTATATAAATGACAGACATTGCCCTTGGATGGGGTGTGCTTTTTTTTCACTACATCTATCACCCTCGCAGGCCCGGCATTCTGCTGAGCGTAGCTTTGTCATTGGCATGAGCTGATTAAACTGCCCAAAGTGCACATCTGAAAGTCTCCCTTGGACACATCCTCTGTTTCCTTCTGTCTCTCTACAGGAAAAACAAGCCAAGTTCTATGAAAATATTATGAAGATCTTGAGGCCTAAACCAGACTACTTTGCAGTGGGCTACTATGGACAGGGCTACCCTCCATTCCTCAGGGTTTGTATTTTGCTGTGTCACAGTTGAGTTAGAGAATACTTCAAATTGTTACCAGAAACACTCATAAAGTAGATATTAAGGAATTCACACCATTTACAAAATCCTAACTGTCTTCCATTAAAAAACGTTATTGGCAGTTAAGCTTAGCTGTTTACAGTTTTTTTTAAATCGCACCAGCAGGTATCTAGCAGAGTGGGACATACGATACCCTCCGGAAACATTTTGGATGTGTTGATTGCAACAGGCTGCAGAAATATAATTTTGCAATGATTATTGCTTCTGCTATGATTATGTGTGTTAATCTGCTGTGGTAACAAGTAAGACAAAGTCAGTACTCAGCTTATAAGAGGGCAGTCAAAGGTGATCAGGTCCAACTTTTGAGTCTTTGAGAGAATTTCAGTGTCTGCCATTCCTAGGTGGACTCTGCCCTATTTAAGGACGTTTAAATAGGCAAAGAACTTTCCTGTGAAGATAAGCTGGGTCTTAATCTTTATTATCAGTATTAACACTGGTTTATTCCCCCTGGCTTCAGAACAAGGTGTTTATCCACCGTGGTAAGGAGTATGAGCGCAGAGAGGACTTCCAGAACCAGCTGATGAGCCAGTTCCCCAGCGCCGTGCGTCTCAACACAACCACCATGCCAGGGGATGATATCAAGAACTCTCCACTTCAGTGTATCCTTCAAGCAGCATTACACACTTATTCATTTACAGTCATATGTAGATGCATATTGAACGAAGAAAATTTTAATATTCTGCATGGTCTACAGTGTTCACCAGCACACTAGCATAGAAGTCATAAAATATTCACATGCAGCACCTTCGGGATTATTAAGTATTTGGGTCACTGAACACATTTGAAAGTACTAAATATCCAGGGACCTTTTAACCCAGAACCACAGTACATCTTAACCAACCATCAGATCTCTGTGTATCAAACTAAAATTTCATTTTAGTTTACTTGTCCTGTTCCTTTTGATGCACTTCTGTATGAACACATCCCTCCACTATGAGTTTGTACACTCACAGAGATACTGAGAATCTATCTCTTATGTTTATTTCTGAGCAGTCCAAAACAGATATCCAGTGTTTTACAGTGCAGCCAGTCCTCGAAATCCCTCCTCGCCTGAAGAACAAACCCGTTCCTGACCAGATCATCAAGTTAGTGCCATTCAAGCTAGTGCTTAAAAATGAACTGGAGGTTTTAAATATGTACACCTAATGTATATTGTGCCTCATTTTGCATGATTTTTCTGTTGTCTTTGTTTGACTCATTTCTTTCCTCTTCAGCTTCTATAAGTCCAACTATGTGCAGCGCTTTCACTATTCCAGACCTGTGAGGAAAGGACCCGTGGACCCAAACAATGAGTTTGCTGTGAGTTATGTCTTTAAAATGAAATGTGTGACCTCAGGGACCATGAAAGCATTTCAAGGACTTTTGTACTAGAACTGTTATCAGTCTGAAACTGTGAGTTTCTAATATATAAAATAATAGGATTTTATTCAAAGGCAGGATTTTTCATATGCTGAGGCTTGTGTTTAAAGGTTTCAGATGAGCTCTTGAGATGCAGCATCAGATTCCGGTATTACTGTGGTGTATGATTAGATTAGAATAAATAAGATTGTGCAGCAAGCGTCTGTTAAGATTTCAGGCTTCAATGCAAGATATGATATCAGAGTATTCAGAAGTGGTACAGATTTATCTGACAGCTTCTCTGTTTTTATACTTTTTTTGTTGTTTTTTTTTAGTCCATGTGGATTGAGCGCACAACCTTTACCACTGTCTATAAGCTGCCTGGGATCCTGCGCTGGTTTGAGGCAACTGACATGAAGCATGTAAGTCTACAGGGCCATGTTTGTTCTCCATGTTTGACTTGTATGTTTGCTGTAAGTTATTATCTCCAGTGCAATGCGTTTCACATTTCAACACCACTGATTACAGGGTTTTTTTTATGTTTAATATTTAAAGGTTTTATTATACGTCTCCCACATCCGATCTGAAAACTCTCCATCCATCCACCTTCATTCCTTTTTCTTCTACTCTTTCTGTGTGTCTGCCTCCCTTTCCAGACTACCTTGTCTCCTTTGGAGAATGCCATAGAGACCATGGAGTCAACAAATGAGAAGATTTTAACGATGATTAACCAATACCAGTCTGACTGGAGCCTTCCTATCAACCCTCTCTCCATGCTGCTCAACGGCATCGTTGACCCAGCTGTCATGGGTGGCTTTGCAAAATATGAAAAGGTAAATTCTCAAGGATCATCACTAATATTACAAACCCAGTTCCAAAATGGTTGGGACGCTGTATAAAATTTAAAAAAACAACAACAACAGAAAGCCGTGATTCTGAAAACTCTATTAAGACCTTTTGTCATTTAATTTTTAAAAATTAACTCCTTTTGAACTTAATGGCAATAACACATCTCAAAACTTTGGAGTGGTGGGAACAAAAGGCTGGAAGAGTAAACAGAAACAGACCCTGAAACAGATGGAGGATTATCTTGTAACTAATTAGGTTAATTTTCAACAAGCCAGTAACATGACTGAGCTTAAAAAGAGTTTATTAGTGAGTTTCTCAGAAGTAGGAGGGGCAGAGGCTCACCAGCTGGCAATAAAACACAAGCTAGTGTGGCCTTAGACCTGATCCCAATCCTGGCTACATTGGAAGGTTTCATCAGGAAGGACATCCAGCATAAAAATATGTGCCAAACATACAGATGCATCTGCTGTGGTAACCTTTTGGGGAAACAAAGTACTTTAGCTTAAACCAGGATTTCTAAAATGAGAAACTAGTACCTGCAGGAAACCTTGGAGAACTGGATGAGGTGCATGTGTTTGTTTAAAAAAAAAAGAGAGAATCATTCCTGCATAATTATTATTATTATTTTAATACAAAATTTAAGTTCAGTAAATACTTTTGTGTTCAATATTTTGAAGTCACAATTAGCTATCATCAAAAGCCAACTGAAAGTAATAAGCACAGTCACATTTACTGTGAGCATAAAGCCAGATTTGGATATTTTGTGGCAGACAAAAGGAAATGGATATGTGTTCAAAGTGTAACAAAAGCGAACCACATGTTTGTTTGAGTCTTCTTTTTCTTTCATGACTCTGAAACAAAGCAGTCTTTAAAGACTTCGCCTGGAAAAGAGTTTGATCTCTACAGATGTTTCTTATTAAAAATTAAGTAACGTTTTTTTATTGCTTTTAGTTCTTTTAGAAAACCTCGCTGTCATACAACTTCAATGCTTAGCTTAGGATGTCGAAAAAAAATTGGTTTTCTGTGAATTTTGTGATGCCTTTAAATATTTGAAATGTAGTAATTAAGTGCTTTTAGATACACATTGTTTTTCATTAAATCAGATTGAGAGAGAAAAAGTTTGAGAACCACTGCATAAAGCTGTTATATTGCTATATATATATATTTCTATTGCCATCTATTGTAACACATACCACGTACAGCCAAATAGGGGTTGCGAAAAAGGACGGAGATTCACCGTAACAAAGTAAGTCCTTTAACAGATATCAGAGCTTAAGAGAGTGCTCTCATGCAAGACTCGTCTCTCATGATGAACTTAAATCCATTAAGAAGAAACTCTTTATCACCTCCTGAGGCTCACTGAATATAATCAAAGTCAGTTTCTGCAGTCCAAATGACATTAAATGAAATGTACTTATCTGACTATCATTTAAGTGCCTCCACACACACTATTCAGTATTATAATATTCCACATAGGATGGTAGTAAATTACCATTTTTGCTAGCTGGTGAAATAGTAATCGATTTTTATCATTTTTTAAATGAGTGTTATATAATATTTCCTCTGTATCAGGCCTTCTTTACTGAAGAGTACACCCAGCATCACCAGGAGGACAGAGAGAAGCTGGTTCGCCTCAAGGACCTCATCGCATGGCAGGTACTTAATACATATTCTCAAATACATGTACACAACATATATAGTCATTACTTTTATATGTGTGTGTGTGTGTTTTTCTGCTGACACCATGGCATTTTTATTTCCAGATCCCATTATTAGGTGGAGGAATCTCCCTCCATGGGAAGAGAGTTACAGAGGACTTGCGTCCTTTCCATGAGCGCATGGAGGAGTGTTTCAAACAGCTGAAAAAGAAAGTGGAGAAGGAGTACGGAGTGAGAGAGTTGGTAAGCTGAAAGAAAAATGTAGGAAAATCCTAACTTTTCTACTAAAAGATGATGCTTCCGTAATCCAGAATATCTTTTTTTCTGCAAAGCTGGACATGGAGCTGCTGTGGTAGAGCAGTGTAGAGCTAATTAAGCTGCAAATTAGCTGACCCAAGCGAATTTAAAGATCAAAGTACTCAGAAAACGCTGTGAGAAGAGTGTTGATGTGGGATTTGTACCTTTTAAATTTCTCTGCAACTAGAACAGGGTTTGGATGGTTTTAACGGGGGCAAATGTGGTCATTAACTTGTAATTGGCACTGCCTTTCAGGAGAAATTAAACAAAACTGGAGTAGAGTGATTATACACCATTTTAAGAGTGATTAGACTCAGTTTTACTTTTTTCTTGTTCTTTTTGTTTTTAGAGATGTCACTTTTTCTACGATATCTTTTTCGGCTAATCTACATATTGTTCACATTTGTCTTTCTCTCTCTCCAGCCGGACTTGGATGAGAGAAAGTCTACTCGTCCACGCTCCATGCTGCGATCATTTCGTCAGTCCGTCATCTCGATTTCCTCACTGCAGGGATCCGAGTGTGGGACGCCAACCAAGACACATGCAGACAGGTAACATGCACATTTTCGAACCCCTACTGTGTCACGAGAACCCCACGATAACACTCAGTTTAAACTGCATACATGAAGTCTTATGGAAAAAGCGTCACACAAATATGATAATAAGCTTGGATTTCCTTTGAATGTCTAATCTCAATCTTCCTGCCTCCTCCCAGGGACAATCCTCCTGAGTCTCCAATCTCCTGGAGCTCTGCCACCCTGCCACGCTCCAGTGGCAGTGTTAGTATAGGTGAGGAGGGGAGCATGATGACAGTGGGTGATGCAGAGGTCAAAATGAGGAAGAGTAAGAAGAAAAAGAAAAGGAGCAGCATGATCTTCATCACAGAGGAAAGAGAACGGACCAGTACACTGGAATGCAAACGGGTGAGAATTAGTGATGATGGATAGCAATGTGGGGAAAATGTGAGAAAAAGGTACAAAGACAGAAAAGAGGGGAAGGTTGCATTACATGATTAAGTAATAGAACGCTCTGTTTCTGTGAAGTGTAGTCTGAGTTTTCTGTGATTTTTGTCTCCCTCTAGCTGTCCAAGAAACAGGAGTTCCGCAGTGACACCAACTTGTCTGAGCCAAATGAAGTAAATGTGGCGCTGACCAATGCCAACTCAAGATCGCTGCCTGCCATCACAGGTGACACACAAACCCACCTGGTGTGATGGAATTACTGTGACTGAGGTGCACAAAGCCCACAAAGTCAAAAAATCATGACCTAAGAGGAAGTGCTGCATTTTTCCTGCTCTGGAAAGCTGACTCAAAGAAAAAAAGAGCACAAGCAAGGTCATAATAGGAGAAATACCTTGGCATGCTATGGTGTGCAATAGAAAAAGTGAATGCTGGGGAATGCACAGTAACAACTTGCCCTAAGACACACTCTGATATAAGGCAGCAAATCAGTTTGAATGTTGTATTTTCTCAGAAGTATGTAATAGTTGCATCTGGTTTATATCTGATTGTTGTATTTACACATCCTTGCACTATGGTGAATCAGGCCACAATTTACTGATGCTTTGCTGGCCTCCTGCCTTCACTGAATCAGCTGAGACAGCACTCACTGCGGTGTTAATACACAACTACAAGCTGCACTGCCTCACTGAAGATACAGCACTCACAGGCCCCCAGTGTTGCTAGGGCACACAGGTCATTGGCAGAACAGCTGCGGGAGCCCAATTAGTCACAAAAAATCACCTGGCTACAGTGCAAGATCTGCTGTAAAATTGTAATCACGAGGACACAAACACTACATTTGTTTTTTCCCCTCTCTCTCTTTCTCTCTAGGCCTGTCCTTGTCAGTGGCAGGAGGGGCTGAGGAGGTGGAGTCCTCCAGAGCCAGGAGGGACAGTAAGAGCATGTCGGTGTGTGCAACCTCTGACCGAACAGCAGACAGACGCTCAAAGGGTGTCATCAACCTGTTATTCAAGTCCAAGGTAGAGTAATAGCCCAACCTGTTTAAGTTAACTGGGTTTAGATTCAAGAATAAGTGCTTCAGTTAAAAAGAACAGAAATACACCTATTTACTTATCTGTGTCAAGCTATTGCCAAGGTTTGTCAAGGTAGGTTCACTGGCTGCTGTTTGGCTTCATGTTTAATGTCCAGGTATGAGTGATGTCAGCTGTATGCGACCTCTTAGTAGGAATTCACGAATATATTTTTCAGAAGATCTCAGCTCTTTTCTTTAACAGAAGTAGCACTGAAAATTTATCTCCAGCATGAGTCTCTTGAATTATTCCAAGCAGGAGCTCAAAGCCCGCTGAAATAATTTATTTGAGCACATTTCAGGTCATTTTTACCATTAAGAAAAATCCCTGTATTTACATTATGTGTGTTTGTTTCGGCAGAGCTCCAGAGCAGAGGAAGTGAAGCCCAGTGATGCACCCAAAGAAAGAGATAGCCATTTTTGAAATGTATTATTTTCATTTCTTGTCTTCTTTACTTATTTGTACTATGCTTTTTTTTAAAACCAAAGACCTGTAGCTAAATCCACAATTATACACTGACTCACACAGTCTACTTGTCTGTCTCAATGTTGCTGTTGCCTTAATATAATTGATTTTACCTATCAGTAAAGGCTATTTTTGTTGTGTGACCTTTTTCCTGGCAATTTAAGTGATTCCCAGTGAAGCTAAATGCCATCTTACAGCTTTTCAATCAATTCTGCTTCTACAAGAATGAGCAAACACAAACCATCCCTCCGACACACTTGATTAAAAGCTTCTCATACGGCTTTCAGCATTGTTGACACTGAAGTTAATGAGAAAATAATAATTCTATAAAGCACAAAGGTTACTGTGTCCTCCCAAAGGACTTTAAACTGGAACTTGTTGCCACGAGGCTTTGGCACTGATACAACAAATATTAAAGTCTAATAAACTCAAATAGAGTCAACAAACTGTGAAACTCATTGTACAACATCAAAGCTGTGTGTACCCCAATGTTGAGTTTGTGTTTCTGTATGAATTCTTTTGGGAGTTACTTTCTGCATGATTTGGTCACAATTTTTTATACCTTTTGTTAAAATATAAAAATAAATGTTTAAGTGTATTTCCAGTTTGGAATTTGCTTTGGTTTTTTTGCATCACCGGTTTTCACGAAGAGTTCTACCTAAGGAATACTTTAGGTGCCGGCTAAATACCAAGTTTTATAAATGTTAGAGTCGCTTCTACTCTTTACGGTAAAAAGAGTTCATCTTGGCTTTAGCTTCATGAATGAACAGCTTTTTAATTTAAGAGAGATTTGACTGTAAAACAAATGAAGCCAATGCTTGAGTGCCAACAGCTGTAGTTCTTCGAATGACCACTTGGGGCAGGCTTTAAAAGTCAGTACCCATAGACTCTCATGCTAAAATGGTCATATTTCAGATTGGAAATAAACATGATTATAGCGTCTTATGAAAGGCTGTTTTAGACCCTGTCCACACCTGCAAGAGTATTTTGGCAAATGAAGCCTTTTCCATGCATCTTGGCTTTTTGTAGATATGTAAACATGGTTTTAAGTTGGTCATGGTTTTTTTTTGTTTTTTTTGTTTTTTTTTTAATAAATAGGACAGGGGGATGAATGAGAGAGAGAGGGGGAGAGAAAGAAAGAAAACCAAAGGGGAGAAGAGACGGTGAGAAGGGGGGGGAAGAGAGAGAAAAAAAAAACTCCTGGGTCACCTGTATGGAGAAAAAAAAAACAAAAACAAACAAACAAACAAAAACAAACAGAGGAGACAGCAAACAACAAAGAGCAACATAATAATAGAGAAAACAAAGCACCATCACAATAAACTAGCTAGTCATAGATATCAGTATTTACTAAGTAATAAACGATATTGTGCAGCACGCAAGATAGACAGCGCACAGTGTGCTTTGAGGCAGCAGCCAAGAAAGCTTTAGTCCGCGTCTGTGAATACCCATGTGTGCATACCTGTGTGGATCAGCATGCTTGCATTCCAAAGGTTTCTCCATGTAATGATCTGCTAGGGAGTGTGGGGGGGCCACAGCCCCGTCCTCCAGGGTGTGAAGCGGGTATGGAGGAGATCAAAACTCCAGACATCCAGAGGCCCCCAGAACACAAGAGACCATGGAAGACCAACAGAGGGGCATCCGCGCCACTGTCCCAGTAAGAGCTGAGGAGAGTCCCAGATGAGGGCTCGCCCAGCAGCCGCGGAGCAGAAGTCAGGGGGAGTTGCAGTGACGCGCCCGTGAGCTCCGCCGGCCCCCAGCTGCGCCTGAGTGACCGAGCCCTAGGCCGAGAGGCCGGGGGCACCCCACCTCCAAAGGGGCCCGAGCGAGCCCCAGGCCCCAGGCCCCGACAAGCGGCCGCCAAGGAGTGAGCCAGTGTGTACCCGGATGCCCACCCCCAGACACAAAGAACCACCAACACACCGACACCTGAGGGAGTCCGCCACCGGCAGGGGAAGTGGTGGTGGGTGGAGATAGGCCTCCAAACCTTGGAGGGCCTGAGGTGTCCCCATGCATCTTGGCTTTTTGTAGATATGTAAACATGGTTTTAAGTTGGTCATGGTTTATGCAAATATAGGAAGGTTTTTGGTTTCAGGATTGTTTCCTTGTACCGCTTCCTCAGTTAGGTTACTGTTTGTAGTTTTCTGATTTATGTCTAGTTTACTTGAGCTTCTGTGTATACCAGTATTTATTCTAGTATTATGAGTTTCTTGATATTTTAGATTCTAGTTTTAGTCAGTATATTTACAGTTATTGTTATTGGATTCTTTATATTTTGATTTATTAGTCTTGCCTTCCCTTTGTCATCCTCTTTCTTGTCAAGTCTTATTCTGATTCCCTGTTTAGTGGCGTCCTGGTTTATTTTGATTGTCATTTATTTCTAGTGTCTTGTTTTTTGCAGTTTTTATTAGATGTCATTAGCCTACAAGTCTACAGTGAAGGAGACCGTTGATTGGTCAAAAGTCTAGCCATCATTGTATCGTTGTGTATATATAGGCCTGCCACCACCCTTTGTCAGACTATTTGTGTATCTTTTATCTTGTGTTCCTCATGTTTTCCTACTACTTTTGCATTTCTTTCTTGCTATTCTGAAATCTTGCGAATACGACAACTCAAGAAGTAAGGCCGCTAGAATTTTCAAAGTTATACCATAAGTGCATGTACTAAAAATCTGAGAGGAGTTCAAATTCTGTTGACCTTGACACCAAGGTCAGAGGTCAAGTTTTCTTAAAATTTTGTGAATGCAACAACTAGAGAACGAGGCGACATTTCACACCATAGGTGTAACAACTAGGAGGCAGGGGGATAACACTGGTGGCTGCCAGTTTTTTTAGAGTCTGCATTTTGGGTTGTAATTCAGAATACATGACAAGGTCATTGAGAACATCTTCCAGGGTAGATGTTTGCAGAGACTCGGCTTCTGTGTTTACATGTGGAAAATGGAGAGGTTGTCTTGTATCATCAAAGATTCACTGTATTGCATAAATCAATGCAATGATATCATGTTGGCAACATCCATCTCTAATGTACTATAAGCAGCAGGGGACCTAAGAGATGCAAACTTTGCTGGAAGGCACTTTTCAAAGTTAACGTTGAGTAATTTGTAGTCCATATTGATATTCCAAGACACCAATCCAGGTGTTCCCCAAAGAATTTGTTCTCTGAGCTAGAGAGAGCATGGATAATGAATGAACAGCCCCAGATCATCCATTCAGCTGGGGCAGTGCGTGTACAGCATCCAGGTTCTGAAGAACTGTACTGGCCCAGAGGAAGAAAACATAACAACATGCACCTAGGGTGGTGAGCAGATTTCCTCTGTTCTCCTACAGCAGAAAAAAACAAAACACTACAGCCTTCAGGCCTGTTGTAGCTTCGCTTTTTAATTTCTTTAACCCCTGGGATCTGCCTAACGTACTCTGAAACAACACAACTAAACCCTTCAAAATCCTGACAGATTATGAGTAAGTGAAGTCAGGAGGGAGCGCAAGTCTTCCTTTCTTCGTTGGCTGTAGTGACATTTTAATGAAAACATTAAGATTAATTGTTAAAGGTGCAGACAGGGCAGCTGCATTTAATGAATAGAAATTAGTGGTAATTGTAGTCCTAAATAAACAGAAGGGCCTTATGTTAGAAAATATCATTTATAATGTGTTTTTGGTTTTTTCCATTATTGGCAGATGTGGATGAATATCTCATATTGGATTTCCTCTTGGTTCTCTTTGAGCCCTATCTGCGGGAGTGCAGACTGTCAGTAGGTTGTAAAGCACAATAGAGATATTTCTCCTCTTCCTTATTAATACTGCCATTATCTGGTGTCATACTGACCACCAGGTTTCTCTATGGCCAATTTAAAGTTGCAGAATAACCTTTTAAACTCAGTCCTGTACTCCTATACTTCAGTCTGGAGTGTGAATTTTCAAACAGAACCATAGCCCCGTGACCACAGAGTGATTTCAAACCGGAGTCATGTATCTCATTTATGCAAAAAAGGATGGATTGGGTTAGTGGTGAGGGTAAACGATATGCTGCGAATTCTCATAGGAACTAATAGGACAGCACTGCTTGACTGATTAACAGACTGCTTCACAGTGAAAAATGCTAAGATTTTTCTGGAATGTGTGTGAAGTTGCCAAATTACACGTTGGTAAAGTCAGGTGCACAAATGGAGAAGTGTTGCAAACATTGCATTTTGAAATAGAGAAGCCTCAGCAACCTGTTTGGAAATATGACTCATTAGTTGCGCCCGTGGCAGCAAGAAACACGTCAAATTTATGATCCTCCACTGTGGCTCCTTTAGGTCTCCTGATGGACAAACCAATCAAAAGCACTAACACACAACTCCTGTTATAATAAGTGTTGCCTCTAAAGACATGAAGGTTTTATTAGAGGTGTCACTGTGGTTGGTACTATAACTTGGATGTCATATTAACTAGTGCAACTTATGTGCTTAGGAGACATATTTACATATTTATCTTGAAGACTTGACATCAAAGCTTCAGGGCTGCATTTGCTTAGATGATACTGTGAATAACACACACTAACTATCACAAAAGTCACAAAGACTAAACACACATTTTCTAAAAGACATAAACAAACCGTAGCTCTTTAAATATTCCCCACAGAGCTGAATCCATCAAGGATAAGTATGGGTGAATTATTTTAAACTGATTAGTTTCAGGGACAGCACAGTTGGACATAAAAGACTCTTTAGTTTATTTAGGATGGCGTAAAATAGGCGGTAAATTACAAATGCACTGTGGGCTTTTCAGTATCTCTCCACACTGGCTGCTGGTGTAGACAGCATCGCTGGGCCTGAGATCGAGGGGCTGTTCCATGCTGTTGAAGCTCGGCTCTGTATCAGTCTGACTGCAGGATGATGGACATGGCTGAGCAGCTCAACTCTGTCAGAATACATAATGAATGAGCAGTTGATGGCAAAGTAATGAAGGTGATAATTGAAAAGCAGTAATTCTGACATCTATTGCAGTCTTGGCAAGCTCATTTGCAACTAATTTCAAGCAAATTAGAGATCAGACAATTCCTTCTTGAGCACTGGCATCGCTGTTGAAATGATGGCAGTGCAAAGATATACTAGCTACTGTGCTTATTGTCACTAGCAGAGGCTGACAGGCTGATGTGAGCGTCAAATGCGGTTATAATCCAAACCCACTAGGGGGCAGTAAAACATTGTTTTAAGGTGTAAACGGTTCAAGTCATATTAATCACTAACCACTAGCGTGGTTTTTGTTAATCCTTTGGGCATGTAAGACCAAACAAGTTTTTAACTCTTAGAATTTTTTTGTTAAAAAAGAAGAAGAAGAAGAAAGTCATCTTCTGATATGGCGCAAGACTAGTGAGGTAAGTCGTCCCATTGGGAATACAGTACAAGTTTCTTGGTTTTCACTTGTACCTGGGATTTCAGCTTCCAGGAAATGACAGAGACTTTCTGCACATTCCCAACATCTTTTGTTTTTTACCCAAGATGGCAGCCATTCAGCTAAGTTATGACAGGTAAATAAACACTAGATAGAGTGATGTGAGGCACACCGTTGTGCACGTATTTCTCTATATTAAGCACGATCACAACAAACACCTTTTAAATGA